CATCTTCTGTTCAAAAGATCCACGCCCAGTTCTCTTCAACTCAACATCACACATCAAGTTGACACCTGTAGTCTGTTGCTACGAACAGTACCAGTACAGTGATTCCCTGCTGAGCAAGTGTGAGAATGAGAGGGACACTCGTGAACCAGTTGTCAAAGAACACCTTGTAGTTCTGGTGTCAGGGTATTGACAGGTGGAGGACAACATTGCCACTTGTTCCTACATCTGGCAGCTCAGGTGGTTGCACGACTCTCCCTGTGTAAATCTCAAAATTGTGCAGGTCACTATCAGAGCCAGCCGAGACGAATATCTTGTAGCCCCATTTCTTTGGCTTAGTTGGCAGGTATTGCTAGAGTGTATTTCTTCCCTTTAAAGGGACCATCTGCTCATCTACAGCCAACTTCTCACTCATTGGTATTGTCTGCAGCTTTAAGGTAAGATGAGTGACCACTGGTCGGATTTTGTGGAGTGGATCAATATTTTCTCGTTGTTTCACTTCATTGTTGTTGAAGTGCAGGGATTTTTTAATGAACTCCCAACTGTTTAGTGCCATGGTGTCAGCTGCCTGGGACACTCGTGTGGCTTTGTTAAAAACATGCGGGTGCCTGGTAATCCAAACAATGACATGTATACTGCTGTACCCATAAATTGATCCAGTTCTTTTTTTAGCAAGGTTAAGGGGCTTGTTGGTGTTACAGTGAATTGCATATAAATTTGACTGCTCTACAACTACTTCCAGAATGTCTTCAGAAAAAGACATCTTGAAGTATTTGTAGGGGGAATTGATATGATCTGATTTTGGAAGACTGGCCTGCCATTCTGGGTAATCGGTGATATTGGCACTGTGGGCTGTTCTCCAACGGGGTAAGCGTGGAACAGCTTCCTGTGATACTTCATCATCTTCATTTTCCTCTCCATCCACAGACTCATTGTCATCAGGCAGGTCATCTGTTTTCAAAAGAAACCAGTAAGCATAAAATTAGAATAGGTCATATATACCTCTCTTCACTCACTGATGTACAAACGCACATACATGCTCATTCCATACAGTATGTTACTCTACTGACTCTCCTAACTCTCCCTCAAACCTGATTTTGGAGTCCACTCTTCCTAACTGTCACTCTCCTCAAGCTCAGTGTCAGAAGGAATGAGCCTAACCGCTTGATCATGTTCCTTACGCCCATAAAATCATTGTGCATCCATTTCCTGTGAGTAACAGTAGATAGTACAGGAAAACATTGATTATGTTGATAACTACACATCCCTACACATCTCCATCCATGAGCATGTCATAGTTCACACAAAAGTGGTCAAACTGCACAATGTTGCCCTGAGGCAACGAATGAAAAACTGCCATTTTAGTACATAAATGAAGACAAAAGTGTCTTTACTCAATCAAATATGCTTTTTCACTTATTTCTGCACATCACAGATATTATTTATACAAAATTATTTCAATTTAAATAATTTTAATTTAAATTAAATTAAAATTTAATTAATTTTAATTAATTAAATTAGTTAAATTTAATTAATTAAAGATAAGTAAAGATAAGTAATTTATCTTACTTTTAAGTAAGATAAAGTTCACCTTTTTTACATGTAAAAAAAGTGAAATTTATCTTACCTTCTGCTAGCGGTGTGTCCAAGTCAGCTGTGGTCCAAAAAAGGATTGTTTCACCCCAAGACAAAGGTCAAAGCCACGTCCAGCTCAAATTTCATTGGTCACAGTCATATCATCAGACTGTTAATGTGATGTTTTACTTAAAAAAATTAAAGGGGCGGTGTGTGGGCCAAAATAGTGGTTTGTTGCCTGAGGGCAACACAATGCCATAGAGAGTTAATCACTGGCCAAAATACAATGTCAAACATTCACACCAGTCCTGTTTGGTCCGCTTTAATTTACTCCAGATTGTTTGCCTAGTCAGTGGACAGCAGCGCAAGGCATTCTGGGTAAATACAGCCAAAACAAACATGCTAGCCTAGCGCTAGCAGGAGAAACGGCTCGAGGTCTTTAGCCGAATTTGAGTGTTCCCTTTATTTTTTTGAGCAGTATATTAGAAACATAGCATACTATTTCATAAATGCACAATTAGAAGACTATGTAATAAAATAATTAAACTATTAAAAGCTCTAATATTTATAACAGATTAAGGAAATGAGTTCTACATTTTATTTCTTTAAAAATATATATTTTTCTGTCCTTCCTCTTGCATGGTGGGAGAGTAAAATAATCTTTATTCCTTGTATTGTGGAAATTAACAACAGTGAGGAGAAAGAGCCTGGAGCAGAACACAGGGTCCAGTTTTATAGGAAGGGTTTCATTCAATTCACATAGTTTGACAATCTAGTTAGTCAAAAAAAACTGACTGAAAATATATGTATTTTCCTTCATAAGGCAAATTAAATAATCAAGGTCAACATAAAGATGCATAGCAGAAAAGCAATTTAATAAGCTGATTGTCATGTAGAGGTCAGAGAAAACGCTGGAGAATACGCCTGTATTACACAAGAATCATAACACTGTTATGCATTGATGCATATTTCCCCTCGTTTCATATTAGAAAAGTTTAACCTAAAATAATAATAAAATATAGGATCAAGAAAATGATGCACAATAATCTGCCAAATAAATGGGGAAAAAGTTTTTATTTGAAGAAACACAAATCAAGGAAAATCATCAAATGTCAAACAATGAAGCCACTGATTTAATGTGATGAGACTTAAAACAATATTCAGATGTAGTTACCACACCATAGTTAATGACAGCCGATATAATTCATCAGCAGAAACGCTCCTCACAGTTTAAGTTTTCACATCACTTCAGAGGATTTACTCCTAGAAACTATCTTCATCTTCCTTGAGAAAATCATCAGTTTCATGAGGTTAATGGAGAAACCAGCAGGTTTATCATAGTGGCTGAAATCAGATTGGTCACCATTGATTTAACCACAAGGACAACATCACAACCAAAACCGTCCCACAGAGTGGAACTAGAATTATCCTTTTGTTGTCGTTTTAATAATTGACCCAATTCGTGGTGAATGTTGCTCAAACTGTTACAGGAATAAAAGTGCAGCATTGTTCCCCCATTAGGTGACAATCTGCTTCCTTGCATTTCTCTGGTGCAGTGAAAGAGTTGTCTTCTAGAGCAGTTCACTTTTCTGTTTTATACAAATGTCATTACTTATGTGTGCATTGTGTTGAAATAGAATTTTAAAGTAGCACAATAGTACACAAGTTAACTTTTATGTTAAGATAAACTTAGATACAAATCCAAACTAAGACAACTGGTCACTCTCTGAACTTACATAAATTTCTAATCAGAAAGCAGTCTTATACTCCTTAAGGAACATTTCAGACAGGGAGTGTATTGGCTATCAGGGCAATAAATTCTTTACTCAGGGTTGAATAGTTCAGGCAAACATTAAAAACTATAGAAGTCTGTTACAACATATAATCAAACATATTAATATATTTCTTTAAGCATTAAAAGCATGTTTTTAATTAGTTAGTTTTAGATCCAACTTATAGTTAGTATTAAACAATACAATTTGTGCGAGTTTGTTTAAAAAAACACCAACTGGTTTCTTGTTGAAGCATTTTGAGGCAGAGATAACGTTCCAGATCCACGCCGTAAATCAGGACGCCTAAAGGATCCTGGTACGAGAAGAGCTGGGTGTTTCAGTGGGTCTCAGAGGTAATAAAATTAACATTTAAGACAGCCCACACAAGGAAAAAACACACCTCCTAATGCATATATTTAAATGAGGAGAATACACATTCGTATAAAATGGTTTGTTTTACAGCAGAAGTTCGAATCTCTTTGTGCTGAGTGAGAGATTCCCAAAAGATGCATCTTTTGTTTGTTTTCGTTTCCCTTTTACTCAGTTAATTGTTTCTGTTTTGTCATGTCTTGGACTTTTGATGATCTAGGTGAGATGCTTATTGTAACATTCTTCTTGCATGGATTTTCTCTGGATAAAACTCTGGCTATCTGAAGTCTGACGTCGTTTGATTGCTTTTTCTCCCTGCTTATGTATACAGACACAAGAATTCGGGACAAAGCGGAATGAATTAAAGACCTAAGTCAAGTTATTCCTCTTTTTAATTCTCAACAATTGTTTGTACAAAAATGCAGGTGATGCTCCAAGCAGGGATGACTTGCATCATGTGAAATGAGCAGGAATATGTACTTGGCCTCCCAGATGTATAACTCCTATGTTTGGAGCACAAACATATCTGTTAATAAAAGAGAGGAGTAACAAACTCTTGACCAGTTTGTAGAGCCATAGAAATAAATGCTTATTCATTTGTGTCTCTATAGCCCAATGGAAGGCTGTTTTATTTCATGAGATGTTTCTCCAGGAGCTTTCTTTCCTTAAAGGTACAGAAACACTAAAACCAGCCAGTAGTTACATTTGAGATCATTATATTTTGCTCCCCAGCTGGAGTTTATTTTAACTTTTAACATTAATTTTGGTTCAACCACAGCCTGACCCTGTGCTTGTAAAAATAATACATTTAGCTGATCCCAGTAAAAGTTTGAAACAATTTTTCACCCAGTGATGCAAATTATTGAGCTTCTTATGGATCCTGTCAGTCAGAAGGTCTGGGAACGAGACTTCAGGCCCTCATTCAACCAAGACATGATGAGCAGTCCTGGTCCTGGAGGGCCGGTGTCCTGCAACTCTTAGACGTCACCCAACACACTTTGATCCAATGGGCCAATCACCTCCTAAGTGCAGGCAAGTTCTCCAGAATCCTGCTAATGACCTCATTGTTTGACTCAGGTGTTGAAGTAGAGATTCTCTAAAAGTTGCAGGAGACCCTGGAGGCCTGGAGTTGCCCACACCTGACCCAGGAAGTGGACTGAAGTTTAACTATTTAGGCTGGTCGATGCATCTGATCTCCTGTTGCCCTCAACCTCATTGGATGCTGTTTGGGGTTGAAATGATCTTTAACAGACTGAGGAAAAACGATCAAAAACCAGAGAGAATATATCAATTCTTTGTCAATATTTATTTGAAGGCTTTACAGCATTTGGAGTCTCTGCTCACTGAACACAGTCAGGAGAAAGAGCCTCGAGCAAAACACAGCAAACTGTTTGATAGGAAAGGTTTCATTCCATCCTCACAGTTTAACAATCTACTGAGCTACAAAACAGACTGCAAGCAAACGCATTTTCTTTCATAAAGCATATTAAACATTTAAGGATGTCATAAGAATGCAAAAAAGAAAATATTCTACAACTTTATAATAATACAGAGTTCAGAGAAACAGCTAAAGACTGATTCATAACCCCAACCAAGACAAGGACACAAGCTGGATTCAGGGCCTGAATGGAAATGGCTGCCTAACCTTTGACCCCAAACATCCTATCATATGCTATCCTTGCAAGGTTGATGATCAGATTTTGATCAAGTGGGTTTTCTATTATATTTTGTTTGGTGGATGTTTTCTTTTCCCTTCTTATATAAGTTTTACTTCTGTAGGTTTAGTCCAGATACAAATTTCTGAATGTTGAACTTCCTTCCTGCTGCAGGAGCTCAGAGACATTTTATTATAGATACATAGACGGACAGATTCCCAGGAGTCTGAAACGTGTCTCTGCTCCTTCCTGTGGATGTGAAACCAAGATGATTTTCTCCTGGTTCCTTCAGACTGCAGCCTCCTCCTCTAAGCCGCCTTCAGCTCTGGATCCTTCATCAAGAACGTTCATCATGATGTTTTCTGGTCCAGACTTCTGGTTTCTCCTGGCCTGGAAACAGAGGATGGTTCAGCTGCAAGGCAACAACTTTCCCAACTGAACACATGATGCATGATACATGCAGTACCTTATAGTAGAGGAGCAGGACGGATCCCAGCATTCCCAGCATTCCCAGCAGGACGACAACCAGTCTGATGATCAAAGCAGTGAGATGGGCTGAAAATGAATGAAACAGATTCAGGATCAGCTTTCATCAGATGAGTCCAGCTAGAAATGTACAATAATCATATAGACCCTGGTTTTCATGCTGCCTGTAGATCATGAACATTAATATAATCAATCCTCCTCTCTGACCTCATGAATGAGGCAGACAGCTGCTGGTTCACCTGAAGCAGAACTTCTCCTGATGGACTCCATGAGTTTATCTGAGACAGTGAGGTTGAGAGGCTGGCTCATAGACCAGAAGTTATGGGAGAAAACGTAGACGTGGTAAAGGCAGCGGTAGGTTCCTTGGTGGGCGTGGCCAGCAGCAGCGAACAGGAAGAGGGCGGAGTGATTAACAGCTGGCAGGGTCTGGTTCTGAGTGTAGTTAGAGGTGCTGAAGATGAGCTGGAAGGAGCCGCCTGCATACTGAGGCCTGATGGAGCACATGATGCTGAACTCTGAGCCAATGAGGAGCTCAGACCCCTGCTTTCTGCCTGTGGAGACCCCGTCAGTGGAGGAAGGGAGGAAGATGAGCGGCTCAACCAGCAGACCTGGCAACGCAGAGGAAACACAGAGACAACTGGATCTGATCTGAGGTGGAAAACAAGATGGCTGATCCTAGACTGGTTACCATGGTTACTAGCATGTTTCTACATGATTACTAACAACTTTATGATTCAGTAAAGTCAGTAATATTTAAACCAGTTTTAGTTTCTCTGCACACATCTGGAACCTGATGGAAGAAACATTTTAAAATATATAAATATGAGTTCAGATTTACCTGAGCAGATGAACTCATGGCTCTGATCATTGGTTTTATCATCAGGTAAACAGTTTTTAATGCAGATCCTGACTGAGAACAGTCAGACCCGATCAACCAAACTGGTCTCTCTGAAGCCTCCTCCATAATTCTTGCTGAAACAGCAGAACCACAGTCCAGTTCAGCACAAACTGCAGGCCCTGAGTTCATGGTCCAGTAAATATCCCAAACATATACTGGTCTCCACTCTTCATGATGGAACATCTCCAGTTTCCCGGCACATCGACTGGCCTCTCCCACCAACCTGATGTTGTCTTGATCTGAGCAGAGACAGAGAGTTCATTAATGAAGGAAGTGAAGCAGTGAACAGCAGCAGGTCTGCAGATCCTCCTCTACCTGAACAGGTGAGTCCAACAGCTTGACCAGGTGAGCAGCTGTTTCTACCTGAACTCTCCCTGCTGCTGCAGTTCAGCAGAGCAGACTCACTGCCTTCACACAGGAACTCTCTGCTCCCCACTGGAGCCTCTGCTTCTCCATAGAGCGCCCCCTGGAGGACTGAAGGAGGCCCACAGCCAATCTCCCTGCAGACCACCTGTGCATCCTGCAGGTCAAAGTCTTTTTCACACATTGAGGACCACGACTGGTCGGTCTTCACCTCCAGTCTGCCTGAGCACCGGTTGGTCCCTGGAACCAGCCTGACTGAATCTGTGGATGCAGAAAGAAAAAAGTTTTAAAATATTTCAGAACTTTATTTTTCTAGATACTCATGGAAACATCTCTGAGTTTGATAAAAAATAAAGGTCAAGAAAACAAAGTGAAGTGAAACCGACTGTACCTGCAAGTTTATCATTCATTATTATTTCTGCTGAATTTATCACATTTTGGGCCTTAACATGATCATAAACTCACTAAATGTCTAACAAACTTTAATCTCTGTGAAAATGTGAATATTTAAGTGGAATTAAAAATAAATGTGGCAATATGGTTGAACAGCGCCCCTAGTTCAGCCAGGCCAACAACCATAACAAACAAGGTTTTCCTGCTATTTCCACTAAAAACAGGAAGTCCACCATTTTGGATCAAAAGTCATTTCCTGTTGATTTTCAGGTTTTAAACATGTCTGATTTCCTTGAACTCCTGGGATTTTGATGCATCGACTTCAAAGCAGCAGAGATTAAAAGTTATTAAAATGATGAGTTTTTGTTCATCAATTGGAATAAACTGAGAACTTTATCTGGATATTTAAATGATTTTAGTTTCCCTCAAGGCTTCAGGTTCTTAGTTAAAGGTGACGGTTTCTCTGCAGACGTCTGGAACCTGATGGAAGAAACATTTTAGATAAATATGAGTTCAGATTTACCTGAGCAGATGATCTCACGGCTCTGATAACTGGTTCTATCATAAGGTAAACAGTTTTTTAATGCAGATCCTGACTGAGAACAGTCAGACCTGATCCCCCAAACTGGTCTCTTTGAGGCTTCATTTAAATTTCTTTCTGAAATAGCAGAACCACAGTCCAGTTCAGAACAAACTGCAGCAACTGAGTTCATGTTCCAGTAAGGATCCCAAAGTGTCACTGGTCTCCACTCTTCTTGATGGAACATCTCCAGTCTCCCAGCACATCGACTGGCCTCTCCCACCAACCTGATGTCTTGATGTGAGCAGAGACAGAGAGTTGATTAATGAAGGAAGTGAAGCAGTGAACAGCAGCAGGTCTGCAGATCCTCCTCTACCTGAACAGGTGAGTCCAACAGCTTGACCAGGTGAGCAGCTGTTTCTACCTGAACTCTTCCTGCTGCTGCAGTTCAGCAGAGCAGACTCACTGCCTTCACACAGGAACTCTCTGCTCCCCACTGGAGCCTCTGCTTCTCCATAGAGCGCCCCCTGGAGGACTGAAGGAGGCACACAGCCAATCTCCCTGCAGACCACCTGTGCATCCTGCAGGTCAAAGTCTTTTTCACACACTGAGGACCACGACTGGTTGGTCTTCACCTCCAGTCTGCCTGAGCACCGGTTGGTCCCTGGAACCAGCCTGACTGAATCTGTGGATGCAGAAAGAAAAACGTTTCTTCAATATTTTCACTGAATTTGGTTCCAGTTTGTTCAGCAAAGCTACAATCCAGTTCAGACTCTGTGGAGGAACAAACCAACTAGTGGAGAACGGGCGGAGAGGGGGGCTGGGAAGAGTTTATTATTTTTATATCTCATGTTTAATATTCTTTGCACTTTTAGCATCTGCCTTTACTGCAGGCCTGGAGATGAACGGAAAAACTGAAGACAAACAGAGAAAATTACACTAGAACAGCACAAAGAACCTATGAATGATCAATTAATATTTTATCATTGTTTTCTACAAAGAAAATGACAGATTTAATGACAGAATCATAGAAAACTATCATATTTACTCTCTGAACTTAATTTGTGGAGGAAGTGCAACATTTGATCAGCTTCTTCTCAGTGACATTGAGGTTTTTATAGCCCTGAATCTGCTCCACTGGTTCCCCTTTAATCTAATCAAACTTCATTCAGTCACTAACCTGGTAAAAACCAGCCGCTCTGTTCCACACTTTGGTTCATCCAGAGAGTCTGGACTGTGTTGAGGTTTTAAATTTCACCCAGTGTCTAAAGTTTGTCCATGACATGCAATGAACCAGATCCACACTAAGTTTACTGGAAGTTTTCTGGGCTGCAAACATGTTGAGGGAAAAAAATCAATTACCAAGCAGTGATATATGAAATCACTCAATCAGGTTTATTGGCACATTGTGCTCAATACAGAGAGCAGATCAGACGATCTATAGTGAAACATTTCCCATTGAAAACTCCCAGGCAGAGACAACAGGAGTTTTATACCAAGGCTGGTTCTCATGCAGCTGCAGGAAAACATCTCCCAACCTTGTGCTTGCAAACCAAACAGCTTCATTTGGTGAGAGTTCACTGGCATTTAGGATGAAGACAATACAACCAGCAGATATTACCTTACTATAATTTGTCCACCACAAAACAGAGAAGAGCCCAATGAGGCGACTGTTGATGTTCATTCAATATTTGAAAGTGTGACCAACATGGACTGAACTTCCTCCACTGCCATTGATTAAACTACAGACAGACTGTGTTTCTACAATAACAGCAAATCAAGGTCATCATTCAAACTTCTTCTGTTCACTGATTGGTCCAGTAGAAAATCTACCAGAGGGAATCCAGGTGAAGGGGAAGAAGCCCAGACTGAGCTGGAAGTGAGAATATTTTTAAAGAGGAGTTGGAAGCAGAACAGGAAGACACTGGCCAGGATATGAAATCACCTGAACAGACGATCTCTACATTGTAGCTCTCATCTCTTCGTGCTGACACCACAGATCCACAGTGGAGCTGTCTGCAAAATCCAGCTGCTGTTGTAAAGTTCCAGTTATAGTCCCAATACTTCACTGGTTCCCAGTCTCCCAGTTCCTTCTTCTCCAGTCTGCCAACACAGCGACTCCTTCCTGCTACCAGTCTGAGTTCATCAGCCAGCGCTGGAAGAAACAACATTTACATGTTGGGTTAGAAAAAGCAAAGACAGATTGATTTAGGATGTGATGACAGGATCCTGTTGATGGTGTTTATTTTATCTTCTCTTAGAGGCAGAGCTGTCATGGATGGTTCTGATCAAAGCACCTTTATGTAGGAGTTGCCTAGTTAAAGCCCAGACTGAAATGTTATGTACGCTCTGTAGTAAGACCTGAAATGTTTCTCATTATTCTCCTTTTCTACCCATTTATACTTGATGTCTTTACTGAGACCAACCAAAGTCAAATTAACTGTTTTTGTGTAAAAGTCCATAAATGAGCTCTGATGCTAACTCTATGCAAAATCCCATCATATCTGGAAAAACATCTCTATTGACTTTAATGGGTTTTATCTGTTATATTCATTGATTCTGACAGTTAAATAATTGTGGGAGATTTCAACAGCATGTTGACGAGCCTGAAGACAGAGGGGATTAAAAGCTGTGATATTGTTGATCATTTTGCTTTAGTTCACATGTTAACCCAGCAACACGTCATCAAGGACACATTATGGACCTGCTCATCAGGCAGGCTGTGAATATTTCCAGCGTCTCTGTAACTGATGTGGCCCCGTCTGATTGTTTCACTGTTACCTTTGAAACCACAGATGTATATTATAGATCTGCAAGACGACTCTGTTGGGGCCGAACGTCAACGGAGTGAAACTCAACGTCACGTTTATGGTGAAATCTCCAACGTCTGCACTAACATTGCAGGGAAACGCTCATAAAGCAGAACATGAACAATGATTGAGCTTCATTTGCTACAGCTGACAGACTCACAAACCACCTGAGCTGCAGCCAAACTGGGCCTGCACATTTCTTTAGAGAAAGTCACCACAATTAGAGGATCAATCTGCACATCCTCTCTCAATCCAATATCAATGCTATACTGAACATAACAAATGCAGAAACTTTTCTTCAGGAAGTCCTGCCTGTCATTTCATCTGATCCGATTCAAATAGTAAACTCTTCGCTCTCATCAGGTGTTTCCCCCAGCAGTTTTCAAACCGCTGATATAAAAACCATCTGAACGAATCATTGCTGCAGAATTACAGGCCGATCTCCAACCTTTCATTCATCGGCAAAATGATTGAAAAGCCGTTTCAATAATTAACTCTGCAAAACAACCGAAACACTGAGTTCCTTTAAATCTGGACTAAAAACCCAGCAGGTCAGATTTGCTTTAGAAACATAATCAATGAAACTGATCAACATTTGATGTGTAACGACGACACTTTGACCAAATGTACAGTTTACTGGTTTACTGTAAACTGGCGTCTTTTTTATTTTTGTGTTTTTATGACGTAAAGCTCTTTGAACCGCCTTGGTGCTGAAATGTGCTTTACAAATAAACTTGATTGATTGGTTGATTGATTCTAATCTGCAGCAGGCCAGATCCACATCCTGCCTGAGACGCTCCCACGTCAGACGGAGCCCAAACGTTTTCACCAGCACAACCAGCGGCACCAGAAGCTGGTCCAGTGACCGTGGTGCTACTGGGCTCGGTTGGCCAGCAAACGGGCCTGACCAGAACCTCAGAGAGAACCTGTGGAGCCAAGAGGAAGATGAGAGGATTCATGCAGAAGGAGCCATTTATGCGGCTCCACCTGTTTACTGCGCAGATTCAGCGCCGCTGCAGAGTTTCTGCAGCTTCTCCTTATCAATCAATCAATCAGATTAATTTTATAGCTCATTTCAGCAACAAGGCAGTTCAAAGTGCTTTACTTCATCAAAACACTGAAACCAACAACTGTTGATGTTATTGGCTCCTTAGCAGCAAGTAGACAATATAAACATCACTAACTGCAGCAGCAGCTCTACGATCTGAGACCAGAAACAGTTTCCAGGTTTTTGATTGTTAAAATTTAACATGTTTATCAGTCGATCGTTTTGAACTTGAACTCCAGTGAATATCAGTGTTTTGTGTGAAAGTGGAGTCCTACCTGAGCTGCAGAGACACAGCAGCAGCATCAGAGCTGTTTGGTCCATGTTTCCTCTGAATGTGGAGCGAAGCTTCGTCTCTTGATGTGATCAGGATGAGGCTCCAGACTCTGAAGACTTCCTACTTTAAGCTGTTTTATCTGCTACTTCCTGAACGTCACAGTTCACGTCTTTGGCTGCTTTCAGAGAAAACGCCTCCTTCCTAGGAGCTCATCGTGAAGATGGGCTCATACTGGGCTCATACTGGGCCTACTGGGATTCAGGCTTTCACCAGTCTCTGTTGTTCCTGTGTTTAGTTCAGTGCTTCTTCTGCAAGTGGCGGAGTGGATCCAGGTGTGTTTCATCCACTGAAGGGGAACCTGATGTTGTTGGCAGCAGCAGCTCAGCTTCCCTGCAGCAAGGAGTCACTGCTGAACAGAACTGAGCCCAGGTGTTGCTGCTATGAAGAGAAGAAGCAGAGAGAACATAAACCTGATGTCAGCAATAACTGCAGAAAATGCAAGCAGGGTTTCCCCCAGGGTCTGATAAGCCTGGAGGCCCGCCAGGCTTTACTGGCTCCTCCGCCAGGCTAAGTGTTGCTTATTTATATTACCAGGAAAATAATAAATAAATAAAACATATACATTTCATTTTCTTTTTTTGAAAAAGCCGTATTACATCCCATTTTCTCTCTATCAGTGGAACAGCGGTGACATCAGGGACTGAAGGCTGAGTTATAGTCGCTCTCAACTGTTGGGGTTGAGCGCGTGGAGCCAAGACAGCAGGATGGCGACTATAGTTAAGGTTTAGATTGTAGTCGCCTGGAAGAGCATCTTCCAGTCTGTGTGAACGTAATTCGGCGCGTTCGATACGCAACAAACATGCAGAGGTGCAGGAGGTTCTGCGACACGCTGCGCATGCGGCGCCTGCCTCTGTCTATGTTGTAAAGTTATATTATCATGGGCTTTATTATTTGGGTATAAAGGGCCTTTAGCCCCGCCCCCTGGCCTTTAGCCCCGCCCCCCGGCCCGGTGCGCCGCCCAGCGACCAGTTCTCTCTCTGCACTGTAAAGTTTATGTCTGTGGTCCCAGGTGGTCCCAGTTGGTCCCAGTTGGCCCCAGTTGGTCCCAGTTGGCCCCAGTTGGTCCCAGTTGGTCCCAGTTGGTCCCAGTTGGCTGGTGCGTTACTGGGTAAGCGGTTCAGCCCAGCATCACGCTGGTTTTAAATGATTTATTATTATTTTTCCTGTCACACGATGCATCAAACCAGGCCAAATGCTTTGTCCCCTCTGCCTGGAGCAGAGTTTGACTTTGGGGCCCCTCTTGCTGCTAGAAACATCAGCATCTCTAGATTGTTGACATGGGAACAAAACAATCTAACTATGAATATTATTCTTTAAACTTTTGCACAGTAAACTTTAAAATCTTAAATTTAAAATCTTTTAATTTATGTTGAAACTATTAAATTTAGCAGCTTTGATTAATAAACAAATGTTACCTTTATGTGTTTGTGTTAAAATATTAGTATTTGTGGGGCCACCGAAGCCCTGGGGGCCTTATGGAGCCGCAGGCTGACTGTGGATTAAACAGAAGAGCAAATAATTGATATTCATTTGAATCGTAGTTTTTGATTTGATGTTTTTAAGACTCTATAGTTGTGGGTTTAAATAGCATTTCACTGCCGATGTTTCCTGTAACATTTAATTACCTTGTAATATTTTTACTTTTCCTCTCTTTTAATACAAAAACACGGTGGATCGTCTTAGAGCCCCGAAAACCAGACGCAGCAAGTTTTCTAGGGAAAACCTGGAGCAAGGATGGAGAGTAGTAGGAGAAAGTAGCAGAGGGAGGAGAAGTGGTCAGTTTCTCCTCCAGGAAGATTCCTGGAACATTTCAAATTATAGATCTGGAATATTTGAATTATTGTTTTTCTGTCTTTGGTCATCAGAGCAGAAAGGCTTCATAGAGGCAGAGAGAGAAATCTAGATATTAATCTGGGTGTTCAGCCTCTGTGTGCTGCCGTGAGCTTGCTGAGTGATGCTAATCTGGATTGAAGCGTCAGCAACATTATCAGCTTTATTGCAACATAACCAGGTTTTTCAGGGTGAATCTAAACTTTAGATCTTCAGCTGGAAAAAATTGTTTATTTCAAAGAGCTGAGATATTTTAGGTCCATTTAACTCAAAACATTTATTATTTAGCATATTAAACACTACCAGCCCCTTTATGTTGCTGCAGCAACATGCATGCATGAAAATCTAAACTATTATCTCAACATTTGCAGCTCTGAGCCAAAATTCGAGCCGGTTGGCCCAAAGTTGAGTTTGATCGTCGGGTCGGGCTTCTGCGGTGCATTTTTAATAAACCAGCAGGTTTTCTGGCTTTTCTAATTGCTCTGATGGACTAATTACATTTTTTACCTTCATAATTTTACATAAAACATGTTTTTGCATGTTTATCATCTTTTGATAGTATCACAGTTTCCATCTGCTTTGGCCGACTCAATATACTGAATGATGAAATATCCGTCACTAAGCAAAAAGCCACTGACTCTTCAAAATCCCCAAGTAAATTAAACTACAACTTCTGAGTTAAATTTTTTATTCTTTTCTGTAATAATTAGCAATTAACTCCACTAATCTATTAGTCCAGCTAATTATTAGTTTAGCACTAAAGCTAAACAAAAAAGAAAAGATCACCCTGAATTATATGACTGAATGAGTTTCTGAGTGCAGTCAAGTTCAGCTTTCTACTGACAGATTCAAAACCTTCAAATATTAAAACATTATCTTATTACTAATAATTATCTAGGATAATTTGTGCCTTTTATTTTTAGATTTGTAATTCTGTATTACTCCATGAGTGGTTATACTGTCTTTCAAATTTATTGATCCTAAAAAGGGAAATTAAATTTAAAAAAGCTTGAGTCCTCTACCGCAGGCCTTGGAGTGTGAGTGGTCTTCATAGTATGTTAGCAGTTCCCAAAGGTGTGCTTCTCTGTCTCAAGAGGTCTGATGCATCTTCAGGTATTTGTTTGAGCTACTCTTCCAGTTTAGGGGTCATTACCCCAAGGGTTTCAGTGACCACAGCCACACTCTTTTTAACCTCTAAGACCCAAACTCTTGCATGACATGCATTATTAATTCATCTTTGATATTTGGGCTGAATGGGACCTAATGATTCCAACAACAAAGAATTATCTTTTTACATGATATGTGGATATTATTTTTCTCATAAAAACATTAATTCATTTAAATCACCATGTTTAGATGGTAAATCTCTACAGTTGCTAACGTTTTGTAAACTTACACCACAACAATAAACACTGACCATCTTGGGTCTTACCTGTAATTTGTTATAATATTCCACCACCACTGAGTCATAAAATAATGACCTAATATGTGGACACCAAACCCCATGTTGGGCAAAATTTAGTATTGTGGACTACACAACCCAAAAGAAGTCATCCACTGATGTGGGCAAACTTTTTCTTAGGTCCTCGGAGGATGAGGCTTTTTTGAGCCTTTGGTATTTCTCTTAGTTTTTTCTGTTCCTTCTGTTCATTTGGGATAGCCACATCATTACAACTGCTTTTCTCTGCTGCTCAGTGATCACCATGTCTAGTTGCTTGACTTTTTGCATTTTGTCTTTCTGTATCTGGAAGTACTACAGGGTCTCTGCTTGTTTATTTGCTACAACCTTGTGTGGCATTTCCTGTTTTAACAAGGTGTGTTCAAGGTTGTATTCCCTTCAGATGTTTCTTTACTCTATTCTGGGTACTTGGTTGTGGCGTTCCATGTATTCTTATCATGATACCATCTTACGTCCTGGTGTTAGATGCAAGGGGACTCTGCATAGCATGCACCCAAGATCTTGCTGGATGTTATAGATCTGGGCTGCTATTGCTCTGATAGGGACTTGCATATGTGCCACTGTGCTTTGTTTCAGTCTAAGCCTTTCTTTCCATTGGTAGCATTGTTTGCTCTCTGTTATAAAACACCATGTTGCTATGGTTATGCATCCAGTAAAGATGCATAACCATAGCTAAATAGCAAAGTATGAAAATATTTCCAAAAATCAGTCCAAATATACAGTATGCAAAACAAAAATGAACTTTTGTCCAAACAAAAGCTATTTTTCCTCCAGAAAGGGAGCAATATAAGTGTAAAAAGTAAAATTCTCAATGAAAGAACAGAGCTACTCCAATGTGCTACAACCTTGAGTGGCACAATTTTCCATACATCATCATCAGCTTTTGTATTCTTATATCAGCGGACTGAATTTCCTCCTTTTTCCATCCTATTATCTCAGCAGGGCATATGATAACTCTCGATACATAACTGTTTATTGTCTGGGCCTTGTTTCTCTCATTGGACTTGCCTTACAATTTGTAAGTAGAGTGGCTTGCAAAAGTAACCTTAGCCCTTGAACTTTTCCATATTTTATTACTTGTTTTTAAAGTGCTATATGAATAAATTTGATACTGACATTATAACCCCAAACATATTTTTTACAAAATTGTATGGTTAAGACAAACACAAAGTGGTATATAGTTGTGAAGTAGAAACAAAACTATACATGATTCAAAACATTTTTTACAAATAAAAGCTAAAAAGTGGCAAAAGTGTTGAGTCGCCTTTTGCTGAGTGCATCCAATTGCCTTAAGAAGTTGCTTGATGACTGCTAATGACTAAATATAGTCCACCTGTTTGTAATCTAATTCCAGTTAAAATTCAACTCCTCTATGACTGTCTCAAAAGTTGGGTAAGGAAATATTAGTGCACAAGAGCATCATGAAGTGCAAGGAACACACCAGACAGGTTAAGGATAAAGTTGTGGAGAAGCTTGAATCAGGCTTAGGCTATAAATAGGTTTTCCAAGCTTTGAACATCTCACAGAGTACTGTTCCATGAATAATCTGGAGATGGAATAAGAATGGCACAGCTGTGAACCTACCAAGACAAGGCCATCCACCTAAACTTACAGGCTGAAGAATAAAAGCAATGATCAGAGATGCAACCAAGAGGTCCCTGGTTGCTGTGCACCAAATGCAGAGATAGCCACACCTCAGGTGGGGGAATCGTACACAGTACAACTATTGGTCATGCACGCACAAATGTGATTTTATGGAAGAGTACCAATTAAAAAAGCCATTG